CAACAACAAAAATTGCCCAACCTTTCAAGAAAGAACAGAAATCATTAAAATAAAAACAATAACAAAATGCACATACAAAACAGCAAAAGAAAAAGTAAAATCACAAGCTAAAGTATACGACACTCCAACAGAAACACTTGAAAAAGCTATTGAACTGAGACAAAAACGTCTCTCTTCTCGATCAAATACAATTCTAAACAACCCGCCTACCATTGCACCAAACTCTAATAATGGGACAAATCACATTCTTCCCACACGCGAAAACCACGAAAAAGAAAATCCAATTTCAACAATAACACCAACACCAAGTGAAAACAACAACACTACCACTAATGACAATATTTATTCTTTATTAAATCAAACCGACTCACCAGTCATACAACAATACTTGCAATTTAGCACAACTCAGCTTCTCAATTTTGGCAACAGCTCTCCTGATTTGGATATGACGATGGAGTAAAAACTCGTTTGACGGGCTCAGGGCGGGAACGGCGGGCATTACTAGCATAATGCTAGTGATGATCGCCGTTTGCGCTCTGGGCCCGTCATCGGCCAGTCTCAAGTATATATTAAAAATATATACTTTCTGAGACTCCTCTCTCCCCCTTTTTTTTATGGTCCTTAAAATTCTGCAATGGAATCTAAAAGGTTACTATAATAATCTACACGAGCTTCAATTAATTATAAACAAATACTCTCCAGACATCATTTCACTCCAAGAAACACACCTTTCAACTTATTCTATTAGCCTAAATAATTATACACATTCTCTATGTAATACACCAACCCAAACATATGCAAAGGGTGGTACTGCCTTATTTATTAAGAAGTCTTTACAACACACATATTTACCACCAAACCCGAAGATGTGTGCCGTGACAGCAATAATAAAAGCCGAAATTACAGTTGCAATTTGTTCTATTTATATAACCATCACGTGATCTACAAACCCTTTGTGACAACAATCAGTGCGGTACACTGATTTTGGGTGATTTTAATGCCCATAACAAATTATGGGGATCGCCTCAAACTGATAGAAGAGGAACAGTCATCGAAAATTTCCTATTAAACTCTAATATGTGTACACTAAGCAATGGATCTCCTACTCATTTTTCGACAAGGGGAACATACACTCACATTGATCTTTCTCTCGTAACGACACATCTCCGACCTTTCTTTTCTTGGGAAACGGACCCACAACTCCATGGAAGTGATCACTTCCCGATATTAATCGAATTTTCTAAAATGAGAGATGAGTGTAACGCAAACGGAGGATTTAACAAACCCTCACGTTTTAATACTGATAAAGCTGACTGGCTGAAGTTTCAAACTAAGCTTGTGGATCTTAGCGAAAAATTTGTAGTATCTTCCAACATAAATAAAGTAGCCGCTGTATTCCACAGACTTATAACTGTAGCAGCAAATGAATCTATGCCACATGTTACCAAGCCATATAACAAAACCAATACATACTGGTGGAATGGGGATCTATCTAACCTGCGGAATCTGAAGACTTCAGCTTGGAAAGAGTTCAAAAAACATCCAACTGTAGCCAACAGAATAGAATATAAAAAAGCTAACGCAATTTTTAAGCGAGAATGTAAAATCTCAAAAAGGGACTCTTTCAATAAGTTTACAGAAACAATTAACCCACAAACATCAGTTAAGACCTTGTGGGACAAAGTTAACAAGCTATACGGGAAAGCAACGTGCCTCCATATACGTGCATTGGACACTGAAGAGGGGGGAACAGTTACAGACTCACAAACCATAGCCCAACATTTTGCCACAACATGGTCTGAGCAGGCGAAAGATTACAACTTTTCTAGCTCTTTCATTTCCCACAAATCCAATATAAACCTTTCCACAAATTCAGTAATAGATTCCACCGCTAGCTTTTTAGAAAATCCTATTACAAAGATAGAATTTGATTCTGCTCTTAACACTGCCAAAGGTAAATCCGCTGGATTTGATAAAATATCTTACGTAATGTTAAAAAACCTTCCATATAGCATAAAGCATCGATACATTGAACTTTATAACGCAGTATACCAGGCGGGAAATATCCCACAAGAGTGGAAAACAGCCACAGTTCTACCTATTCAAAAGCCTGGCAAATCCAAAACGGAGGTCAATGGGTACCGACCCATTTCTCTTCTATCATGCCCCGCTAAAATTCTTGAAAAGATTATAGCCAAAAGACTCACCTGGTTCCTCTCAAAGAAAAAGCTTATAAGCCCGCATCAGATGGCATTTAAATCAGGTAAAAGTACATTAGATGCACTACTGCACATAGACAACCAGATAGCAGAATCCATATCCAGGCGGCATCACATGTCAGTTATATCAGTCGACTTCGAAAAGGCATATGACCGTATTGGCAAACACGCAATTCTTGAGCAACTGACGGAATGGAAAGTGGGACCAAAATTACTTAGGTATATTCACTCCTTTTTATCCAACAGAAGATTCCGTATTAGGGTCAACGGTATACATACAAAATCGTATCCGCTTGACAATGGTATACCCCAAGGTTCGCCATTGTTAGTCATACTCTTTCAAATTGGTACAGAACATATCAACAAAATAATGCTTGGTTACCCCTGCTTTAGCTATTGTATTTATGCAGACGACTTTTACCTGCTAGCAAAAATAACGAGCGAGGAAGAATTCAGGAACAGACTAATGGCATTATTCCAAGAAATCTTGGACTGGTGCCATTACTCTGGATCAAACATATCATTCTCAAAAACAAAAATATTACATGTATGCAAAAAAACCAGCTGTAGGCTAAATGATGTTGTTATAGACAATAAGCGAATAGAAAATGTAAACTCACTTAAAATACTAGGTTTAGTTTTTAATAATAAATATACGTGGTCCGAGCACATAGAAACTGTAAAAATGTCATTAGTTAAGCGATTAAATTTAATCAAATGTTTGACGTCTTACCACAGCAGCGCACACCCTAATAGCGTCATCAATATAACAAAGGCTTTGATACTTTCCAAATTTGATTATGGTCTTACTATATACGGTAACACCTCGAAAAGGCAACTCAACAAAATTAAGGGTGTTTAAAACGCCGCTGCAAGAAACAGCATAGGAGCCTTTCGCACAACTCCTGTAAAGAATATATACACAGAGACTGGAATTCCTGATATTTACAGTAGATACGAAGAGATCACATCTAAACAAATCCCGATACTTATATTGTACACTGAGAAGCAAGTGGCTAAAAATATAAATCAAATCGTCAAAAGGAAGAGGGACTTACGATTCCCCTCAGCTATAAGCCGCATCATCACACATGGGTATAAGATTGGCATTGATATAAGGGCACACAAACTCTTCTTTCCTCCAAAACCTCCATGGCATTTCAACACAAACTCCATAGTTACAAACCTAATGCATCTACCAAAGTCAACAACAAATCCACAAACCTTTTTGGCAACATTCAACGAAGTAGTCTATAAATTCAAATCTCAAAGCTGGAATTTAATTTATACTGACGGTTCTAAAAGTAAATATGCAACCTCCTTTTCAGTTATCAGTAGCGACCTTCAACTTGAAAAACTATACCGTCTCGATGAAAACAGCTCTATTTTTACCGCTGAAACTGAAGCACTGCTAGAAGCCGTTAACACGTGTAAAACAATCCATGGAAGACATCTAATTTGCTCTGACTCATTATCCGCTATAAAGGCATTACTTAATATACAGCATGTAAATGAGAGCATCCAAAAGATAAGAAATGTATTAATCCAATACCCCACTAAGATAAAAATAATGTGGATTCCAAGCCATGTCGGCATCCGTGGAAATGAGTTAGCAGACGAAGCAGCTAAGTTTGCGACTAATGCGCCCATAATTTTTAAAACAACTAATAACAAAAGAGATATTATAAGAACAGTCAAACACCATCATTCACAAATAAAGAGAGGCCAATGGGAGAATTACACTAATTCATACAAAAATGTAAATGAAGAGGGAGTTGCCGTAAAATATCCATACAACATTTCTAGATATGATCTTAAAAAATATATACGCCTGAGGCTTTGTCACACACGATTAACGCACAAATTTATCTTTGAAAAAACTTCTCCGCCAACATGTCACCTTTGTTCAACCAGCACACTGACCTTCGACCATTTAGTGTACAACTGTAGCTATGTTAAGACTATGCAAATGTACTTATTTAACGAAATATGTTTCCCCAAATTGTTAAAAAATGTTACCTCAGAAAATATAACCAATACGATAATACTTTTAAAAAGATGTAAAATTTATTATTCAATTTAGATAATTTTAATAAATATATTATTTACTTCTATTACGCCGAGGACCACAGTTGTTAGTTGCCTAGTGTTACGGTTTATTTATATAATTTAATTATGTAAGTAAATTTACTAATAAATATATAAATAAATAAATAAATTGATATCTTGCTCAACATTAATTTTTGATATTTCACACAAATTATCCAGTAAATATATTCCAACACCAACGCGGGATTTGTTTTACAGCTAAAAATACAAATTTTCGAAAGCAATATGCGCTCTTTCAGACGTCTTTAATTTCAGATATTAATTCCCAATAAGTGTCAAAGAATACTTTCTGGGTGTTCGCACGGGAAAGTGAGATTTCACTTTCTCAATTTTACAACAAACAAGTAATTTTTAGCAAAAAAACCGACTTCAACTCTCATATAAATTTATATATATATATATATATATCTCATGATCCACTGCTCGGATCTTATTAGTATGGGACCACCTCAGAGACCCTACCTTTCCGAAGCAAAAAGAATTATCGAAATCGGTTGACGTGGTCCAAAGTTATGCGGTAACATTCATAAAAAAAATAAAATAAAAAAATAATAAAAATAAATTAAAAAATATTCCGACGACCTGATAACCTCCTCCTTTTTTGAAAGTCGGTTAAAAAGTACTTGCATTACCACTTTTGAATGCACTTTCAAGTTAGTAGCTCTCACTTACCAATGGATGGCTCTTCAGCAGCCGCGTATGTGTAATGCTACGCCTTGTGCGAGCGTGTGGCAAGGTCTTGTGCTTGAAGTGGTATTCGTTTCCATTTCCTCCAACTAACTGGAATTAAAAGAAAAGCAAGTTTGTGTGTATTTAAGTATATGTGGTTATAAAGCTTTCTCATATTCCTTTATTTTATATTTTTGTAATCTTTAGTTTGAAATACGCTTAATTAATAAAATTAAATAGAAAATTCTGATCATTAATTCCGAAACGATAACATCATTGGTCAAAAAGAAAATGAATTTCACGCTTCGTAAAATTAGTACACCGAGTTGGCCATTAATGAGATACAAAATGAATGTGTTCTCGACCATGCACGCAATTTCCTATAATTTGATTGAGTGTCCGCAAAAATATATGTACATATGTATGTACATTAGAGTGGTCCAGAAACAATCAAGTCGGAATTTTAATGCCGCCACCTCTAGAATTTCTCTGAATCGGAAAAAAATTTTCCCCTATTTTTTTTTGTTTTGAAATCAAAAATTTTTAGAGTGCGCTCACAGCGCTCAAAGTTTTCCATGTATTTTATATGGGGGAAAACAACCTTTCGTAGAAATGGTATAAAATTCTTGAAAATCAATATCTTTCGATCGGAAAACTGTGGTTCTCTTCAGGAGACTTACAGTATTAATGTCAAATTGTTTATTTAACAATTTTTTAATATTAAGGATTTTTTATTGGTCCCCCATTTGCATTTTCTTGGGGTTTTGGAGAACCTATAAAATATAGTTACCATGAAAAAATAGTTAAAGAAACCATTGGGTATTATTACTGGGAATCTCCTAAAGATAACCAAGGTTTTCCCATCGAAGAATATTGATTTTCAAGAATTATACACTATTTCTACGAAAAGTTGGTTTTTTCCCCATTATTAAATACATGAAAACCTTTGAGCGCTTTGAGCACTCCCTTAATTTTTTATTTCAAAATAAAAAATAGGGGTACATTTTTTCCGGTATAGAACAATCCGAGGTAGTGGTGGTTCACATACATTTTTGGACCACTTTAATGTACATACTAGGGATGTGGAATTTTAGACACCCGCGGATGCCAATGCAGATGCGGATGTCAAGTATTTTTGAAAAACAACTAAATTAAGTTAGTAAATTATGTTATTTAGGTAAATAAATAAATGGAAAAGTTTGTAATTTTTAATAAATTTAGTACTTAAATTTAAAAATTGGAACATTATCTATATACGTATTTTTGAAAGGTAGTACACTAGTAGTTTATTGCTCTGACGGTAAAGAGAGCTTTGCCGACATATTCTATTTAGTTTGTCCGTGAAATGTAGACTTAAGTTGTTCTGTCAAATGTCTATAGATATGTTCATATCTACTTTTATACTTATGGAGAAGCAGTACAGTGTCTTTTTGAGCTATCTCTGCGCGAATTCTGAACCAGTTCGATTTGCTACAGGGTAAAATATATGTGACCTGGTCTACGAAAAGGGAGCTTACGTGCGAAAACTAGTTTTCTGTGAAAAAGCTGTTAAAAGTAAGCAACTCGTTTCGTCAGTTTCTCATTATCTCGTTAATTGTTCTCCGCGCCGGACGTCCAGTAAGTGTTGTTGTTGGTCGGAATATTATTATAGTTTTATTATTATTATTATTAACATTATTATTATTATTATTAATATTATTATTATTTTTAGTCAGAGCTGGGTCGTAATGATTCCTTTAGGAATAAAATTACTCCCAATTACAGATTACAAGGAATTGTAATTAGGAATCAATTCCTTCAGTCCACAGCAAAGGAATCGATTACTTTTTCAATTCATTGAAGTAATTTCAAATGTAATTGGTTTTTTCTTTAATTCCATTACAAGGAATTCCATATTGTAATTGGAATAAATTACGTGCTAGTAATGTAATTTTGTTTCCAATTCCTTTGAAAGGAATTGAAAATGTAATTGATTTTTTTTTTCAATTCCATTACCTGGAATCGCAAGCGTACTTTAGTTTTTTCAATTACTCAAAGGAATTGTAAAAGTAATCGAGAAACTGAAAGTTCATTCACGAATGTTCAATCTGAAATTTTTGTTTTGGTCAAAGATTAAAATCGAAAGCACACATTGGACATCTTCTATGTATATCTATATATATAAAAATCTTGTGTTCGTATGTCACGGTCATCAAAACCCGAGAACGGCTGAACCGATTTGAATAATTTTTTTTCTATTATTCGGTATAATACCAGAACCAATGATATCGCAAAAATTTGGAGGGTTGCCACCTATTTTAAAATTTTTAAACCCAATTATATTGATAAAATTAATGAATTATTACAATATGGGTATCAACTTAAAGAGGTTAAAGAAAGAGAACTGCTGGAAGTATTTTTGACGAGGGCTGCCACCTATTTGAAAATTTAAGCTCGGTCAAATTGTTAAAAAAAAAAGAAATATGTATTGCCATGTGGGTGTCAAACTAAAGAGTTTTAAGAAGGCTTACTGCCGAAAATATGTTTGAGGAGGGTTGCCATCTGTTTGAAACTTTAACCAAATTACATTGATAAAATAAATAAAATATTACAATATGGGTATCAAATTAAAGAGGTTTAAAAAAGATAACTGTTGGAAAATTTTTGAGGGGGCTGACACCTATTCGGTTGGCATGTGGGAGTCAAACTAAAGGCTTCCAGAAATATGCAATATGAAAAGTTCGGTTTATATGGGAGGTGCCACGCCCCATTCTCCACCCATTTTCTCCATGAGTATGGAATTGGTCTTATATGTATATGTATATATCACCATACCCAGTTCTAGTCCTGTACCACAAATATATGCAGTTTGAAAAATTCGGTTTGTATGGGAGGTGCCACGCCCCCTTTCTATATCGAAACCTGTTTTTAGCCTATAACCATCCTTGGAAATTCTGCAGTACATTCCGAAATTTGAAAAAAAACGGCCTTTCTCGAGCTATGCGAACAGAAAAAAAACGCTTTTCAAAATATACATATATTAGTACAGACTAGCCAATATCTGCTTGTTTTGCGGCTTAAAACACTACTACCGATGAAAATCGATGGATAAATAAGCAAGTTTGCAAGGATTAGGTTGAAGTGGCTGCTAGGCTCAGAGGGCGCCAGCACACTTAGGCCCGATCAGGGCCCATTGTGATTTGCGAGGGTTAAGTGAAAGTGCAATAATTTTTTGTATGAAATACTAGCAGGAAATAATGTTACCCATACGCCATATCGTACATGACCGTATGACCATGTTAAAGTTTGAATTTTTTTCATTCGCAATGAAAACTTAAAATGAAAATAATTTGACTAAATGACCTTATCTAAAAAAACGGTATACAGATCCGTAACATACTCCTTAAAATTAATTTTACGTCTCTCGGCGTTTTTTGTGTAATTTTAGCGTCGTTACAGTGTTATCATCAAAATTTAGCCATAGCAATGAAATTTGTTTATAAAACTCTTAGGAGGTAGGATCTCCAGTCCCACAGGGCTCGTAATTCAAGCGGACTCTATCCTCATTTGTAACGCAGGATACCAGTAAGAGTACTTCAAAGGCCCCAGAAGGCACGCCATTTTGGGTAGAATTAAGGGTACCATAATATACACAATTAACTCAGTGCATTTTTATAGATACGCAGGGATTAGTCCAAGAGAACAGCAGTGCCCAAGGCAGCCACATTTATGGGTCTCATCTGCCGCGAAGCGCGTTCGCGGTAGGATCTGGAAAATTTAACCCTTACCCTATAAACTGAACAGCTACAGTTTAAGCTATTCAGTTTTCTTAAAGTCCAATTAGTAATACTACTTAGGTATAAGTTGTTTATTCAAGGCAGTTAGCAACCAAGAAATTTAACAAAGCTATTGCAATTCAAACGTAAACAATATTTTTTTTTATACATTTTTCGATTACTTTTTAAATTACTTTGAGGAATGGAATTGGAAAAAAATCAATTACATTTTCAATTCCTTTCAAAGGAATTGGAAAAAAATTACATTTTCAATTCCTTACAAAGGAATTGAAATAAAAGAAATTACATTACTAGCACGTAATTTATTCCAATTACAATATGGAATTCCTTGTAATGGAATTAAAGAAAAAAACAATTCCATTTGAAATTACTTCAACGAATTGAAAAAGTAATCGATTCCTTTGCTGTGAACTAAAGGAATTGAATCCTAATTACAATTACTGAGGAATGTAATTCTAATTGTAATGTAATTGCATTTACCCAGCTCTGTTTTTAGTACACTTCTAAGCAAGTTAGGATTTTCTGCTTTTCACCACGTGAAAAAGCATCTCATCTTCCATCCGAATCAACCAAAAAGTGAAAATTGATTTTTTGACACCTAAGCCCCCTTTCCGTAGACCAGGTCACATATGTAAATACCTAAATACACTTAGGTCCCTTTTTGTGCGATATATGCATTCCTCAGAAAGCCGCATAAAAAAGTTCTTTACTTTCATACAAAAGCAGTATTTTCAAGAACCGCTGATACTCCGAAAAAAAAAATTCTTAAAAACCGCATAAAAAAATCCAGCGAGGCAAGATTAAGCAAAAAAAACCATTTATTTCTTCACTTCAACACTTAGATAATATACCATGTAAAACTGAACATTAATGAAATAAATAAAATTTGATCTGTATTTTAACCAAAAAAACAAAATACCACAATAAATACATGAATTATGTAAAAACACCAAGACAAATTATTTATCAGAAGCATTGTCTCTTACACACTGAAAAAAAAGTCATAAAAACTTTCAAAAAAGCAAAATCGCTACAGCTAAAAAATGGTTTGAAAACCCGCATAAATTAAACTCCGCATAAAAAGAGACCTAAGTGTATATACATATGTGTTCCCATGTTTTTGTAAGCACATGCATATTTCTCCAAAAAATTCGATACTGCTTGGTGAATCTGCTTTCTTATTTCACTTTGGTGACGAAATAAATGATATTTAGTGTTTCACGCTTCATATTTTTTAAGTAACTCGAAGCTGTCTTTAGGGATTTTTATGTACATAAGTAGATAGCTTCAGATGTCTCCCCTAGATATTACTAGCACTGCGACAGCACGGCAAAG